TACCATACTGCTACAGGTCGCCTTCTCTCCCGTATTCACTTCTGTCCTCGTTCCCGTCTGTACACCCTTCGGGTTCCCCCCCCCCCCCACCTGCCAAGTTGCTTCTCCCTCTCTCCTCCCCCCCCCTCCCCTCCCTCCCGCTAACCCACCCCTTCCCCCCCGCCCCCCTGACTCTGACTGTTCCTGTCGCTCCCTCTCCCACCCTACCATCCTCCTCCATCACAGGCTAGGTCACCCTAACTTCGCTACTCTGCGCTCCTATGTCTCCTCTGGTCTCCTCCATGGCCTCCCCTCCTCCCTCCCTCCCCTCCCCAAATCTCCTGCCCCCCCCTGCACCGTCTGCGTTCAGAGCAAGCTCAAGCAGCAGCCGAACCGGAGCTCCCCCTCCGTTGCTGCCCAGCCACTTGATCTTGTTCACATGGACCTTTGGGGCCCTAATCCCTCTCCCACTCGCCAGGGCCATCGCTACCTTCTCGTGCTCGTCGATGATCACAGTCGGTACTCGTCCGTCTCTCTCCTTCGAACGAAGGCGGACGCCCCGGCTGCGATCATCGCCTGGCTCGAGCGGGCAAACACCCATTTTGGGCGCCCTGTTCGCCGCCTTCACTCTGATGGTGGTGGTGAGTTCATTAACAACCAAGTCTCCTCCTATTGTCAGTCTCGTGGCATTCTTCAAATTTACACCCTCCCTCACTCCCCACAGCAGAATGGCGTGGCTGAGAGTCGTGTTCGGGAGATCACCAAAACAGCACGATGTCTTCTTGTCCACGCCTCCTGCCCCCCTTCTCTGTGGGGCTACGCCCTCCTTCATGCCGCCCTCCTTACTAACCTTTACCCTCACCCCCTTCTCCCCTCCACCACTCCCACTGAGTTGTGGACAAAGAACAAGCCTGATGTCTCATCTCTTCGTGTCTGGGGCTCAAAGGCATATGTCCTTATTCACCCCTCTGACCGCTCCCGTTCCATGGGAAAGCTCGCCCCTCGTACCCTTCCCTGCATCTTCCTTGGTCATAACCCCACCTCACCTGACTACCTTTTCCTCCATCCCCCCTCAGGTCGTCTAGTCCGCAGTAGGGATGTGGTTTTTGATGAGTCCACTCCCTACTACACCTCTCCCCCATCCACTGACCCACTCCCCCCTCTCACCCGTCCCCTTGTCTGGTCTGACACCACCCCTCCCCCATTACTCCCTCCTCCCCCCATCCTCCCGCCTCCGCCCCCTCCGTTGTCCCAGTCCCACGGTGCCCCTCCCTCGTTTGGTGATATCTTTGACCCGGAACCTCTGTCCTCTCCTTTCTCTCCCACACATTCCTCTCCCAGTGCCCCTTCCCCCCTCCCCTCCCCTCCCTCGCCACCGACCCGTCCTTCCCCTCCTCCGCCCCCTATTACCCTCTCTACCTCTACCCTCCCCCCTCTCTCCCCTCTCCTTCACCACTTCTTCCAGGCTGTCTTGCATCAACCTCCTCCTGCAGCAGCCCCCTCTGCCACCTCTCCCTCACCAGCAGCGGCGCCAGCAGCAGCGTCCGCAACGGCACCAGCAGCAGGACCAGCAGCGGCACCAGCAGCAGGACCAGCAGCGGCACCAGCAGCAGGACCAGCAGCGGCACCAGCAGCAGGACCAGCAGCGGCACCAGCAGCAGGACCAGCAGCGGCACCAGCAGCAGGACCAGCAGCGGCACCAGCAGCAGGACCAGCAGCGGCACCAGCAGCAGGACCAGCAGCGGCACCAGCAGCAGGACCAGCAGCGGCACCAGCAGCAGGACCAGCAGCGGCACCAGCAGCAGGACCAGCAGCGGCACCAGCAGCAGGACCAGCAGCGGCACCAGCAGCAGGACCAGCAGCGGCACCAGCAGCAGGACCAGCAGCGGCACCAGCAGCAGGACCAGCAGCGGCACCAGCAGCAGGATCAGCATCGGCACCAGCAGCGGCACCAGCAGCGGCACCAGCAGCGGCACCAGCAGCGGCACCAGCAGCGGCACCAGCAGCAGCACCAGCAGCAGCACCAGCAGCAGCATCAGCAGCCATCCCCGCCTTCCACACCTCCCTCTCCGAAGACTCCCATGAGGAGTTCCTTAACATCCACCTCTGTAACCCCTCGCTTCTACCCATCACATTCGACCTCTCCGGCACACCCGTCTTCGCCTTCTCCTCTGCTCCCTCCATTTTCATCCCTACCACGTATGAGGAGGCAATGGTTTGCCCCGACGCCCCTCTCTGACTCGCCGCCATCATCAAGGAGTTGGAGGCCTTTATCGCGAACTCCTCCTTCGTTGATGTGCCTCGCCCTCCCGCCTCTACGAACGTGGTGAAGGGGAAGTGGATGTTTCGCGTCAAGCAGCTGCCAGGAGAGCCGCCCGTCTACAAGGCTCGCTACTGTGCCAAGGGCTTCACACAGCGGTATGCTGTTGACTTCTTCGATACCTTCTCCCCTACCGCCAAGCCTGCTACCGTTCGCGCCGTGCTCGACCTCGCCGCTCGCCTCAATATGGAGATCCACTCGATGGACGTTTCTAACGCCTTTCTGCAAGGCGCCCTCCGCGAGCTTATCTACATGGAGCGTCCAGCCGGCTTTCACCTTCCCATCTCTGTCTGGCAGTTGCGTCAACCTGTGTATGGGCTCCGACAGGCCCCTAGGGAGTGGCATGCTAAGCTTGACGCCACCCTTGCTGAACTTGGGTTTCGCACCTCCCGCTCCGACGCCAGCCTCTTCCTCCGCACCTCCCCCTCCCCCTTCTGCATCCTTGTGTATGTCGATGACATAATTCTGCTCACCGCCGACTTTGCTGCGTTGGAGCGTGTTAAGGCTGAGTTGGGTAGCCGACTCAAGTGCAAGGACTTGGGAGAGCTGCAGCATTACCTGGGCATGACCATCACCCGCGACCGCTCCGCCCGCACCATCTCTCTCTCCCAGGGTCATTACTTGCAGCAGGTCTTGGAGCGGTTGACATGGCCCGGGGCGGTGCCCAACATACTCCTCTTTCTGTCGGGCACCATCTCTCTCCACCCACCTCCCCCTCAACCTCCTCTCATCCTTATCCAGAGCTCATCGGCTCCCTCATGTACGCCATGGTCTCCACTCGCCCTGACCTTGCCTACCCCATCAGCGTCCTTGCCCGTTTTGTTGACGCAGGCAAGCATACGGAAGAGCACTGGCAGGCCGCCAAGCCTGTGATCCGGTACCTTCGTGGCACCAAGGACTATGTCCTTACCCTTGGCGGCCCCTCCCCACCCTCCTCAGCGGCTACAGTGACTCCTCCTGGGCTGATTCCCCGCCGGATCGTCGCTCCTCCCAGGGCTATGGCTTCTCTCTTGGCAGCGGCCTTATCAGCTGGCGCTCCACTCGCTCCTCGGCTATCGCCCTCTCCTCCTGCGAGGCGGAGTTGTATGCCGCCACCATGGCTGCGCAAGAGGCCCGCTAGCTCACCTTCCTTCTTGAGGAAATTGGTGCCCCCCAGCGCTGTCCCACCATCTGGTGTGACAATGCCAGTACCATTCACCTCACTAAGGATGTTGTGTTTCACGGGCGCTCCAAGCACATTGAGCTTCGTCATTTCTTCATTCGCGATCTTGTTCAGGCGGGGCACCTTCGGCTCGACAAGGTTGACTTGGCGGCCAACCTTGCCGACATTTTCACAAAAGCTCTTCCTCATGCGCCTCACTCTTCACTCCTTCGTCTCCTTGGCCTCACTCCTCCAAAGTCGCCGCCCGCCTCTTGATTCTGGCCTTCTAGCCTTATGCATGTTGGGGGGTTGTGTAGTAATTTCATATTTTATACAACATACATAGGCTAGAAGTGTAGCACATTTATAAATTGGGGGGTTGCTTAGTGTACCCTCCAACCACATTTTGTGGTTGGTTGGGATTGGTCCTTAGCTCAACCAATCCCAACCAACACACATTTGTGGTTGCTTGGGCCACAAGCAAGCTCACCCATTGGCCAACTTATTGGCCAATAGGGTAAGCTTCCCTCTCATCTCTCTCTTGTTCATTGTTTGTACTAAAGTGCCTCTTGGCTCATTATGCAATGTATCAATTCTCTCTCTTCTAACATGCAGCGCAGGTATGTCTTGAGCTAAGTTGGAATATACGCTTAACACCTTAAGCGTACAGCGTATGTACGCTAGCGTACATACGCTATCCGCTATACGCTAGCAAATACGCTATACGCTCTTAGATTTTTTTTAGGGCTGCCCGAAAAAAGAATCGCAAAAAAGATGTGGATTTCCTAGGTGAGCATTTCGCCGTAGTCGAAATTCAAGTCCGCAGTCTAGGCAAACGGGGATCTGACTTCGAAGTCGTCAGGCAAATGTTGGATTTCAGATCCCATCTAGGCATTGAAATCCATCCCTTCTACCGCATTGAACCCCACTCTATCTACAGACTCCAACCTGTCAAAATTTCCCAAACAACAAATCTCACGATACTTACCAGCCAGCCCTGTTGGCTAACCCTAACTCGTCATTTCGTTCCCGCTTTCACCAGAGTTCACGCTTCTTCGCTTTCTTGCTATTATGGTTACTCCACCTCCAATTGCACTCGTCATTCGGATTCAGGATTATGCAAGGGCAAGCCTTAGTGAGAATAGGGAGTACTTTTATTTCACCCTGCCCGGAACGTTTTTTCTCTGCCCGAAAAAGCGTTTCTCCAAACCGAACCCCTAAGCGGATAGCGTGTATACGCTAGCGTATATACGATACTCGAATATACGCTGTACGCGTATATTCCAACTTAGGTCTTGAGTCGACTCAATGTGCAGCAGGATTGTAGCTCAATGGCACCACCCAAAGAGCATTCGGAGTGGTCTTCGCTGCGGAGGAAGAGACAGTTGAGCACTCACTCGATACCAACACTAGCACGGAGATGACTCACTAGTACCAGCGGGGAGGGAGAGAGGAGTTGTGTGGTGAGTCACCAGAGCCTCACTCACTACAAGGAGGCCAGAAGGGCTGTAACTTACCAGCACCACCCCAGCAGGGCTGCAACCCACTACCCAGGACCCCTCACGAGCAACACACTGGCTGGTAGGGGAGTGGGTGGGACTCACTAGCGCCACCCAGGGAGCATTCGGAGTGGTCTCCGTTGCGGAGGAAGAGGCAGTTGAGCACTTGCAGATGCCCCGTGTCCACGTACAATGCCCCGCCTTGCCCGCCCTGCGTGGCAGCAGGAACAGGGAAGCAAAGGGGAGGAGAGGGGATAGAAAGAGGCAGTTGAGCACTTGCAGATGCCCCGTGTCCGCACACAATGCCCCGCCTTGCCCGCCCTGCGTGGCAGCAGGAACAGGGAAGCAAAGGGGAGGAGAGGGGATAGAAAGAGGCAGTTGACCACTTGCAGATGCCCCGTGTCCGCACACAATGCCCCGCCTTGCCCGCCCTGCGTGGAGTGGGAAACAGTATAGAGGGAGCAGTGTGAATACACAGGCAAGGCAAAGAGGCGGAAGAGGCAGTTGAGCACTTGCAGATGCCCCATGTCCGCATACAGAGCCTGTTGAGCCCCGCCTGCCCCATGTCCGCATACAGAGCCTGTTGAGCCCCGCCTGCCCCATGTCCGCAGCCCCGCCTGCCCCATGTCCGCATACAGAGCCTGTTGAGCCCCGCCTGCCCCATGTCCGCATACAGAGCCTGTTGAGCCCCGCCTGCCCCATGTCCGCATACAGAGCCTGTTGAGCCCCGCCTGCCCCATGTCCGCATACAGAGCCTGTTGAGCCCCGCCTGCCCCATGTCCGCAGCCCCGCCTGCCCCATGTCCGCATACAGAGCCTGTTGAGCCCCGCCTGCCCCATGTCCGCATACGGAGCCTGTTGAGCCCCGCCTGCCCCATGTCCGCATACAGAGCCTGTTGAGCCCCGCCTGCCCCATGTCCGCATACAGAGCCTGTTGAGCCCCGCCTGCCCCATGTCCGCAGCCCCGCCTGCCCCATGTCCGCATACAGAGCCTGTTGAGCCCCGCCTGCCCCATGTCCGCATACGGAGCCTGTTGAGCCCCGCCTGCCCCATGTCCGCATACAGAGCCTGTTGAGCCCCGCCTGCCCCATGTCCGCATACAGAGCCTGTTGAGCCCCGCCTGCCCCATGTCCGCAGCCCCGCCTGCCCCATGTCCGCATACAGAGCCTGTTGAGCCCCGCCTGCCCCATGTCCGCATACGGAGCCTGTTGAGCCCCGCCTGCCCCATGTCCGCATACAGAGCCTGTTGAGCCCCGCCTGCCCCATGTCCGCATACAGAGCCTGTTGAGCCCCGCCTGTTGAGCAGATGCCTCGTATCCCTAAACAAGGCGCCGCCTCGCCCATCCTGAGTGGAGAGGTGTGGCAAATCTGTTTTTGAGTCGACTCACAAACAAAGAGCCACAGGGAAGGCAGTCGCACATGCCTCGTATCCACAAACAAGGCGCCGCCTTGCCCATCTTGAGTAGAGCGGTGGAGATCCGAACAGTGCGCTGATAAAGGCCTTCATTGGCCGAAACCAACAAATCTCAGATGCCTCGAATGCACAAGCAGGGCGCCGCCTTGCCCATGTTGATAAGAGTGGTGTGGCAAATGAGGGAAGGAGCGGGAGCAGTGGAAAATGCATGCTCACAGGCCCACAAGCCTACACGCCCGCATGCCCGCACGCCCACATGTTATATGCTCTCTCTCACCACCCACCTGGTTCTCTATGAAGGTGCTGTCATTGATGTCATAAGCCACCATACCGTCCATGAACATACTCGCAGCGATCGCTCCCCCCTGAGTGAGGTATGTGGCTGCCTCACACGCACACACACACCCCCCACACACTCACACGCACACACACACCCCCCACACACTCACACGCACACACACACCCCCCACACACTCACACGCACACACACACCCCCCACACACTCACACGCACACACACACCCCCCACACACTCACACGCACACACACACCCCCCACACACTCACACGCACACACACACCCCCCACACACTCACACGCACACACACACCCCCCACACACTCACACGCACACACACACCCCCCACACACTCACACGCACACACACACACCCCACACACTCACACGCACACACACACCCCCCACACACTCACACGCACACACACACCCCCCATGCCCACACGCTGGTCTCTTTCTTTCACGCACCTGGTTCTCAACACACGTGCAGTCGATGATGTCATAAGGCACAGTAGCGTCCATGAACATGTTCGCTGCAATGGCCCCCCCCTGAGTGAGTGAGGTCAGGAACGTGTTGGCCTGCACCGCCACACCTACATGGTAGACTCACTCTCACACCCACCTGGTTCTCAATAAAGGTGCAGTCGATTATGTCATGAGGCACAGTAGCGTCGATGAACATGTTCGCTGCAATGGCCCCCCCCTGAGTGAGTGAGGTCAGGTACGTGTTGGCCTGCACCGCCACATCTACATGGTAGTCTCACTCTCACACCCACCTGGTTCTCAATAAAGGTGCAGTCGATGATGTCATAAGGCACTGTAGCGTCCATGAACATGTTCGCTGCAATGGCCCCCCCCTGAGTGAGGTACGTGGCTGCCTGCGACCCCGGAGGCAGCGTGTTGACAGCCACGTTGCGCCACAAGTAGCTCCTCTCCACGCGCATCGGCACGCCGAAGGAGAGGATTGCGGCGCCGAAGCTGGGCCCGTTGGTGACCCGGTTGCTGCGGAACGTGCAGTCTGTGACGTTCGCCGGGCCGCTCATCATCACTAGCTCTATGCCCCCTCCCTGTTGGCACGGGGGGAGGAAGCACAGGAGAATAGAGGAGCAGAGACGAGAAGAGAGGAGGCATGTGCGGGGGGGGGAGAGAGCAAAGGAGGCCTCATCCAGCCAGCCCACCGTATTAAACACCTCACAACCCATCCAACCGACCTGAATGAGAGCCTCGTTGAACTCGAACGTGGTGTTGTGAAACTGCGGCTTGACTTCCCCTTGAAAGAATGACACCCCGCCACCGGTGATAGAAGAGGAGCAGTGCGCGAAGCGGCAGTGAGCAAAGGACGCGGCAGCAGTGGTGTTGAGGTGCACGCATCCCCCCGCGCCCGACATGAAGTCGGCGGGCTGGTAGACCACGGACGAGTTGAGGAAGGCCGTGTGAGATACGTTGAATGTGGACATGTAGTCGGATATTGCCCCGCCGCCTGATGACTGGCGGAGGGGAGGTAACGGGAGGGGTGAGGTGGGCGGGAAGGGGAGGGAAGGCCATGTAAGATACGTCGAACGTGGACATGTAGTTGGATATTGCATCGCCACTTGACGACTGGAGGGGAGGGGAGGGGAGAGGGGAGGGGAGGGAGAGGGAGGGAGAGGGAGGAAAGGGCGGAGGGGAGAGTGGGGGAGTGAGTGATTGAGCTGCACACAACCCCCAATGCAACCATTGAGTGTGAGGGGGGTAAGGAGGGCGGCGGAGACATGGTGCTACTACTGAGTCAACCTTTTCCACTAGAACTACAAGAGGTGACTCTCGTTGCCGCACGTCTCAAAAGTCATTTTCCACAAGGACTACAACCCCCTCATTCCACAAGGACTACAACCCCCTCATTCCACAAGGACTACAACCCCCTCATTCCACAAGGACTACAACCCCCTCATTCCACAAGGACTACAACCCCCTCATTCCACAAGGACTACAACAACCCCCTCATTCCACAAGGACTACAACCCCCTCATTCCACAAGGACTACAACCCCCTCATTCCACAAGGACTACAACCCCCTCATTCCACAAGGACTACAACCCCCTCATTCCACAAGGACTACAACCCCCTCATTCCACAAGGACTACAACCCCCTCATTCCACAAGGACTACAACCCCCTCATTCCACAAGGACTACAACCCCCTCATTCCACAAGGACTACAACCCCCTCATTCCACAAGGACTACAACCCCCTCATTCCACAAGGACTACAACCCCCTCATTCCACAAGGACTACAACCCCCTCATTCCACAAGGACTACAACCCCCTTGGTTGGAAAATGAACCCCCTTGGTTGGAAAATGAACCCCCTTGCCCCCTTGGTTGGCAGATGGTAGAATTCGAATTCAAGCACCCTCATCCGCACACCAAGCACCCTCATCCGCACACCAAGCACCCTCATCCGCACACCAAGCACCCTCATCCGCACACCAAGCACCCTCATCCGCACACCAAGCACCCTCATCCGCACACCAAGCACCCTCATCCGCACACCAAGCACCCTCATCCGCACACCAAGCACCCTCATCCGCACACCAAGCACCCTCATCCGCACACCAAGCACCCTCATCCGCACACCAAGCACCCTCATCCGCACACCAAGCACCCTCATCCGCACACCAAGCACCCTCATCCGCACACCAAGCACCCTCATCCGCACACCAAGCACCCTTATCCCACACCACACATCTTACCCACGCACACACCAAGCCCCCTCGAAACAAGGAGAAGTTGATGGTAACATTCAACCTCTCACTCGCCATGCACCCTCATGCATGATCCAAGCCCCTTTATCCCCCACCACGCATCCTACCCACACACGCACCAAGCCACCGTGGAACAAGGAGAACCGGATGGTAACATTCGATGCCTCACTCACTTGCCATGCACCCTCATGCATATCCAAGCCCCTTTATCCCCCACACTCACTTGCCATGCACCCTCCCTTCCCCAACAAGCATCCCCTTATCCCCCGCACCATCCTAGTAACCTACGTACCAAGCCCCCTTGGAACACGGAGAATTCGATCGTGAGATTCGAACTCTCACTCGCCATACACCCTCCCTTCCCCGCCACGTCCCCTCCCCCTTCCATCCCCGGCACCCATCCATCCGTCGATCCACCACCACTACCCCCCGCAGCAGCCGCCGGATCCAAACGAGTGTAACAGTCCTCTATTCTCGCATCGCTTATAAGCACACTCGATTCAAGCACAAAGAGGCCGCCGCCTCTTGTTGTGATTCCTCCGAGGGCGCTACAGCCGGAGATGATAAGGCCGGTGGCAGCAGCTGTAGAGTGGTACAGGGCCAACCCTCCCCCGGTTTGTCGGATAGGGGCATTAGCTGCCGCATCTGTTGCTGCTGCTGCATCAGCGCCTGGTGCTGCTGATGTTGCCGTTGCTGTTGCTGCGGCTGCGGTTGCAGCGGCGGCTGCAGTTTTCGCTGCTGATTTCACCGCTGCGACTCTTGCTGCGACCACAGCCATTGCTGCTGCTGATCTTGCTGCTGCTGCCGCTGCTGCTGACCTGGCTGCATTTCCTTCTGCTGATCCCTTCGCGGCTGCAGTGGCTGGGGTTGCTTCTAATGAAGATGCAGAGAACCGGTCGGTAGAAGGTTCAGATGATGCTCGAAATCCGGCAGATGAACGAAATGAAGAGACGGTCTTGTTGGAGGAAGGTGCATGCAAGGAGACCGAGCAGTTTTGGATGGTGACGTGGCGCATTGTGACTGGCTGTGGTGCGCTGCTGATGTGGATCCCGCCTCCTGACTCGGAGGCATGGCAGTTGGAGAGGGTGATGTCGCTGGTGGGATAACGAGGGGAGAGAATTAGGGAGAAGAAGGGGGGGAAGAGAGGGGGGGGAGGGGAAGGGAAAAGGGAGGGGAAAGGGAAGCGGACGAGAAAGAGGAAGGGGGGAAAGGAGGGGGAAAGGGAGGGAGGGCAGGGGATGAGACGCCTCGACAGGGATGCAGATGAAAAGGGTGAGACTACTGGTGGGTTGGAGGGGGAAGAGAGGAGAACGCGAGACGTGGAAGGAGAGAGTGGGGGAAGAGGGATGTCGGAGTTGCTCCCCTCTCCTTCCTCACTCATCTCTTGCCCTTGCCTCTTCCCTGTATTCTGTCCTCACCTTCATCCCTTCCTTCTTATTCCGGTCTTTCCTCACTTTGTGCTGTCCTTCTTGCTGCCCTGTTCCCTTCTCTCGTCTTGTGAGAGATTCAGGCTCCCACACGCAGGCCGCCCACAGTGGCGCAGTCACCTAGCTTAAGTAAGCTTAAAAACGGCAACTCTTAACCACTATATGAGGCGAACAAGACGAGAGAACGGGTCTGCTATGCTAGGCTAGGCTATTTATGCTTGGCTGCCCAGTCGCGAGTAACTCAGCGTGATGGGTTGAGTCTGAGCCGTCTGGGCCTTGGATTGGCCCTCGCCAGATTGCCTGTCTCCCGAGGTCCCTGAAATTGTCCCCCAAGCGCCCTGTAACCCCCAATGCTACCAACTTCTTGCTACTCTCTATAACCCAACTACCCCACATGCAAATTGAATAACACTCGCTACACAACTTCTACACCCAATTAGCACATGTCTCCAATATAATGCACTTGCCATAATATTTGGTGACAGGGACGGGGACAAGGAAGAGGGGAAAGGGAGAAAGCGGGAGGGGGAGAAGGGAGGGGAAGTGTAGCAAGAGGAGAGGGGTTGCAAGTCGCTACAAGGAAGAATGGATTGAGGTGACTTGACAGCATCTCCTATTACAAGTGCACTGCACTACACTGCACTGCACTGCACAGCACTGCAGTCCACTCCTCACATACCACAGAGTACCCCTCTCATCTCACCTCAGAGCCACTGTCACGCCTTGGAAGAGCATACAGCCACCCTTGCCGTTGCTCCGCCCATTCGCCACCTGCAGCCGCGAAATGGTAACCAAAGAGCTGCTGCACGCTGCCCCCCCGCGCACAGGCACTGCTGCAGCCGCCGCTCCTGCTACTGCTTCTGCCGCTGGTTCTGCTGCTGTGGCCGTCGCTACAGCCGTCGCTACAGCCGTTTCTGCAGCTGCCGCTACAGCATCACCAGTGCCCGCAGCAACAGACGGGTCAGCTGCAGTCAAGCGGGAGGGCGGGGACGAAGCGGAGGAGGGAGGAGAAGCACCGCGGCAGAGCGCTTGCAAGCAGGGGCCGTGGGAGCAGTCAACAGTGGCAGGGGGGAGGTGGATGGGGGGGCCGCGGATGGAGAGACGGAGGTGGGGCAGGAGGAGAGGCGCGGGGGAGGAGTGCGTGTAGGTGCCTGATGCAACGTGGATGGTGGCTCCTTCTGACGCGCTGTGGGGGGGGCGAAGAGGGGAGTGGGGAGAAAGGGGGAGAGTAGGATTTGGGCATGCGCAGGAAAGGAGTGAGAGGGGCGAGAGGGACGAGTGCGTGTAGGTGCCTGATGCAATATGGATGGTGGCCTAGAAGGGGGGACGGGGGACGAGGGGGAGAGGATGGTTTGGGGGGCAGGCGAGTGAGTGTAGCTGCCTGGTGCGACATGGATGGTGGCTCCTTCTGACGCACTGTGTTGGGTGGATGGGGAGTGGGGGGTGCGGGGGATTGGGGCATGCGGTGCAAAAGAGTGAAAGGGGCGAGAGGGAGGAGTGTGTGTAGGTGCCTGGTGCGACATGGATGGTGGCATGGCTCCTTCTGAAGCATTGTGTGGGTGGGGAGTATGGGGGGAGGATGGTTGGGGCATGCGTTGGGAAGGAATGGGAGAGGCGAGAGAGACGAGTGTGTGTAGGTGCCTGGTGCGGCGTGGATAGTGGTCCCATCTGACGCATTGTGGGGGTGGGCAGATGGGGGGCGGGAAGGGGGAGAGGATGGTTAAGGGGGGAAGGGAGGAAAGAGGGAAGCAGCAGCAGCCGGGGGAGGGCAGGCGAGGGGATTGGGGCAATCAGCAATGAAATGAAACCTCCTCGCAACACACTTCAGGGGGTAGTAAGGAAGGAAGGAGAGCAGCGAGGGGCTTGGGGTGGATGGAAATGAAACACCGTTGCGACATGCTTTCACCTGGTGAGTGGATTACACAGGCACTAGTTTGAGCCATTGGCCATTGGACAATAGCAAGTGGCATGGCAATGGCAAATCGGTGGAAGAGGGGCAGACCGGGTCTTTTGCATTCAAAGGGATGCAGCAGGAGACGGGCACTGAACATGATGCGCTGAACATGATGCGCTGAACATGATGCGCTGAACATGATGTGCTGAACATGACGCGCTGAACATGATCCGCTGAACATGATGCGCTGAACATGATGTGCTGAACATGATGCGATGAACATGATGCGCTGAACATGATGCGCTGAACATGATGCGCTGAACATGATGCGCTGAACATGATGCGCTGAACATGATGTGCTGAACATGACGCGCTGAACATGACGCGCTGAACATGATGCGCTGAACATGATGCGCTGAACATGATGCGCTGAACATGATGCGCTGAACATGATGCGCTGAACATGATGCGCTGAAAATGATGCGCTGAACATGATGCGCTGAACATGATGCGCTGAACATGATGCGCTGAACATGATGCGCTGAACATGATGCGCTGAACATGATGCGCTGAACATGATGCGCTGAACATGATGCGCTGAACATGATGCGCTGAATTTGAGTGGGGTTGGGAATGAGTGGTGTTGGGAGTGAGCGGTGCTGGGAATAAGCAGTGCTGGGAGGGAGCAGAGAACGCACCTGTTAAGAGCAGCTTGCAGAGAACCTGTGTGGCAGACATGAGAGTGCAAAGGGTGGGAAGCGAAAGCGAGAGAAGGGAGAGGTTTGATATGAGTGGCAGAAAGAGGAGTGGTAAGGGGGTGACATGACATGGCAAGCGCAAAGCAAGCAAGGGTGCAGGACGGAGAAAGAGGGAAAGGAAGGAAGCTGTATGTGAAGTGAAGGTGAGAAAAAAGGCACTGATTGAGAAAGAATAGAATAAATAGAAAGATTTTAATGAGCTCTGCTGCACTCACCGCACGGCTGCTGGGGGCTCTGGCCGCAGCAGGGTGTGAGAAGGCCCCCCTCGGCCACATAGACAGTGGCGGTGGGCTTGGTACAGGTGGTACCTGGGGCAAGGGAAGGTGGAGTGTGGGAAAGATGGGGGCTCTGGCTGCAGCAGAGTGTGAGAAGGCCCCCCTCGGCCACATAGACAGTGGCGGTGGGCTTGGCGCAGGTGGTACCTGGGACGAGGGGTGTTTTGGTGAAAAATATGAGGAAGAGGAGGTGGGTGGGGAAAGGTGGGGAAAGGTGGGGAAGAAGGAGGGTGTAACTGCCGCAGCGGGCTTTAATGTGCCTTCCTCTGCTCGGCCACGTAGGCAGTGGGGGAGTAGGTGTGGGGCAGGGGGTAGTGGTACCTGGGGCAGGGGTCAGGTGGGGAACGGTGGGAATGAAGGAAGCTTTAACTGCCGCAGCAGGCTTTGATGGGCCTTCCTTTGCTTGGCCATGTAAGCAGTGGCAGTTCGCGTGGGGCACGCGACAAATAGGTAAGGTGGGGAGGGGGGCGCACGCGCAGGGCAGGGGGTGAATGCTGTACGCAGACGCACTCGTGTACCGTTAGTTAACAGGAGCGGTCACCACACGTCTGTCTGTCGTTCCTTTGCGCGGCGTTACGCGCTTTTGAGAATTGTCAGAAGTAAGAGCGCACACTGAGTTGGCAAAACACATTGGAGAGTCTGACTCAGAACACGGTTGCTATTACCATTGCTAGGAAAACCAATCTCAGGGTTACAGGTGGTTACCACCACCGCTACCAGTGGTACCATTTGGAGTATACAACCGACCTGTTGCTCCTTGGCACGACGCGAGGCGGCATTGCTTCTGAGTCAGCAACAGCAGCAGCAAGAGGCCAATCAGCGCGCGGCATGATGGGGTGCATGCGCGCCGAGCCGCCATTGGGAAACGAACCTGCAAGGACAATCCCTAGGGTCCTTGCAAGGACAATTCGATTCTTGAGTCGACTCAAAAATGAACCTGCAAGGGCCAGTTCCTAGGGTCACTGTCCGCACCGCGCGCACTGAAACAGCGTGCGCGCCAATGGTAGATAGCCACGTGCCGTCGACTCAGAAGATTGCGACAGGCTGGTTGGCAGATTGCTTAGAACAATTTGGCAAACCGCGCGCGAACAATCCCCAAGGTCCTTAGTAAGGCTTCAGAGAATCTGCCAGTGGCGCAAGCAGGAAACTCTTGTGAGCTTTCCTTGATCAGACTGCTATGATTTGCCGCTTCGAGCTTCGAAATGCGACAATGCCGCCGCGTGGCATGTTTGCTGCCAGCTTGTCACATGTCAGTGGGCAATGTCGTCAGCACACAGCAGCACGACGCATCCTCGCTACTACCTCATTAGGCGTTCAGCCCCTAGGCGCCGAAACGAAGCACATTATTCCGAGTCTCTAATGCGTTCCCTGAACGCCTAAGTAAGATTCTTATTCTACCCCTGCCAGGCAAACGGCAGAGTAGGGAACGCAGCAGGTAAAGTGACGCACCGACAAGGCTAGGAGGCGTTGGTTTGGAAGGCTGAATGACGAACAAACCGACTGTGCGCTGGCGACGGTAACGTCGCTTTGGAGTTTCGTGAACTCCGATACCCCGCTTTGGCGACAGCATGGATCAGAGTGAGGTTTTCGCCGAGAGCTAGTCGTTTCGCTAAGCAACAGCACGTTGCGAAACGTGCGCAGGTGCGATGTGACAGCCTGTCGATCGGCTTATTGCCGAAACTAGGTACCGTAAATATAATCAAGGCGGATGTGCAAATAAGTTGAAATCTGTTAAAACCAGCAGCTAAAATAGTGACCCCCCCCTTCTAGTTGGGTCCAACTTGAAAACGGAAGTTTTGGGAAAGTTGGAAGTTACGTGTGAGATTTTCTTTCAACACCAGAGTTTGCCTCAAAGTGAAGGGGGAACGATTGGATCATATTTATGAACTCTGATTGGTGACAACCTTTCTCGCACATACATGTGCGATTTTGGCGCAAGGCTGCACGACGTGCAAAGCTTCCAATCGTTCCAGTGAATGTACCAGTGAATGTACCAGAAGCTTTGCGTGACGCAACGACACAAGCAGTTCCGACAACCCACACACATGCAACGAGAATGTTTAGGTGATCCAGAGCTAGTCGACCTGTGAGACCAATGCAGCGAAGAACCTGCGGCCTGCTCTTTTAGAATAATATTAACAAGGGGAGGGGAGGGGACGGTAGTGAGGAATAACGACGGGAAAGATCAAGGGCGAGAGGAACAAGGACGGGAATGGAAGCGGAGATGGGAAGAGCGACGTTAGGGGAGCGGAGAGAGGAAGAAAGACGGGAGGGGAGCGGAGACACCGAGGGCGAAGAAAGGGGATGGGAGAACAACAAGAAGACGCGAAGGTAGGGGAGTTCTTGAGGGCGACGAGACGGGATGGAATAAAGGTACGCTGATCGAAAGGAAAGGGTGATGGCAATATCGTGGGGAAGGGAAGGGAGGGGCGATGGCGCGGGTAGAGAGGAGCGCGATGGCGACTACTCGAGAGCGTTTCGTGGTGCCGACAGTGACAGGAACCGTAACGATCGCGCGAGAGGCGAAAGAGCACTTCGCCGGAAGGCAAGCATATATATAACGCCGGGACAGAGCGAAGAAGAGAGCGAGGGCGATGGGAGAGAGGGCGACGGGAGAGAGGGCGACGGGAAGGGCGCGGAGAGAGAGAGCACGACGGGAAGGGAGGGGCGAGAGAGAGGGCGACGGGAAGGGAGCGGAGAGAGAGAGCGCGATGGGAAGGGAGGGGGGAGAGAGAGGGCGACGGGAAGGGAGGGGAGAGAGAGAGGGCGGCGGGAAGGGAGGCGACGGGAAGGGCGCGGATAGAGAGAGCGCGACGAGATGAGAGGGGCGAGAGAGAGGGCGACGAGAAGGGCGCGGAGAGAGAGAGCGCGATGGGAAGGGAGGGGCGAGAGAGAGGGCAACGGGAAGGGAGGGGAGAGAGAGAGCGCGATGGGAAGGGAGGCGACGGGAAGGGTGCGGATAGAGAGAGCGCGACGAGATGAGAGGGGCGAGAGAGAGGGCGACGAGAAGGGCGCGGAGAGAGAGAGCGCGACGGGAATGGAGGGGCGAGAGAGAGGGCGACAGGACAGGAGGGGAGAGCTCGTAAGCGATGGGACGAAATGGGAAAAACGGGGTGGGAGACGAGAGAATGTTTCGAGGCAAGCGCGAATGCGAAGAGGTGAGTGATGGGCGGGGGGGGACGGAATAAGGCCGCCGCGAGGGCAATTCCACGCGAATGTGAAGGTGATGAGCTGAGCGACGAAAGGGCGTTTCGGCGGCGAGCGCGTTCAACCGAAAAATCTCGAGGCAAGTATCGCTACGAGACGCGTAAGATCCCTCGTCACTAGGCCACGAATAGAAGGATGTGGATTAAATCTATAAAAATGGTAGTTGCCTAGGCAAAAATGCCTACGTTTTCAGCTATTCTAAGCTTGGCTAAACTAGAGACTAGAGTGGAAAGAAGTAGTGGAACCCAGGTCCAGCTTGAAGTTGGAGTTGGGCCCAACGATCGCAATGATCGCCGTACAGCCGTCGTGCGGGTGCATCATGTTGAATGCGACTCCTTGTGTAAGGCCTAGAAATTTCGTTTTTGGCGGGAGCCAATCAAATGGGTTCGATCTGCACACACGAAATGTTTGAAACAGTGCTTTGCAAACCCACCCGGGAAGATCCTTTCAACCTGGGACGGGGTTCACTATTCTATATTTCGGTTTTAAACGAATATTCATTCTCCCACATTTCTAGGCTATCACAAAGCTGGTCCGGCCAAACTACGGTCACGAACAAGCTCGAGCCCACTGGACCAATCTCATTGAATTCTTTAAAATGAAAAAAAAAAAGGGAGGACACTCCTTTTCGGAATCCGAATTTGTTGCAAGCACATCTGCAAGTCACAACTGTCTCTTCCTTCAATAATTACATTTTGATAAGGTCTGAAAATCTCGAGCGCAACGGAGTTCTCTAGGAGAATAACAACGTCCCTGCGGCGGGGCAATGGTTACTCAGAAGTAACACTTCTGACCTGGCACGTGGTGCCACTGCGGTGGCCGAGGGTTAGCCGGACACAAGGTGGATAATTGTGTTATAAGATATATGCATTACATTGAGTTATATAGCAAACCCAAAGGACAGGCAGTTACCATGGCGCAACTGTAGAACAGTTGCGCCACGTCGCTTGGGTTGCCCTGTTACAGTTGTGCTGGCGCAACTGCTCAATTTCGGCAAGGGTGCGGTATTCTGCCGCTGTTTGCGCGGCAGTTTTGTGCACAATGCGTGCTGCCTCCTGTCGATTCTGATTCGTGCTGCCTCCTATCGATTCTGACCCTTCAACTGCCATGCGGGAAGCAACCACTATGCACGGTTGAGCCCCTGTAGCTCGATACTCGGGTCAACTGCCTCGATATTGGGAGCTTCGCAGCTAAACTTTGAATAGTATAGTTCATAGCAAGAATGCGCCGTAAGCTTCGTCAACCGCACAAAGCAAATCGTGTTCTATTTTTTTTTCGTCAAAGATGAGAGATTGGCAAATGCAAGGTTTATTGATGAGAAAAGTGTCAGAACATATATATAGCTTATGCAGTTGTGTAGGCTATAGTGGGGTATCCCATAGGGGGTACAACCCAATTATGGTTTCCTATATGTACTCACTTCATTCATAGTTCATTCATTCTTGTTCAAACTTTCTCATGGTATCGAGCAGGTTCCCCCTTGGGAACTGTGCTTAGGGCCCACCACATCGTTTTTTTTTTCCTGCCCGAAGCGCGCTCAGCCCGAGTCGCGCTCCGGGCCCTCACTTCGTCGAGCCGCCCTAGCGGCCCTTCATCGCGGCCCCGCCGCCTCTCTCCTAGCGGCCCCGCCGCCCTACCTAGCGGCCCCGCCGCCCTACCTCGCGGCCTCGCCGCCCTATTGCGCGGCCCCGCCGCCCTACCTAGCGGCCCCGCCGCCCTTACTCGCGGCCTCGCCGCCCCATTGCGCGGCCCCGCCGCCCTACCTCGCGGCCTCGCCGCCCCATCGTGAGGCCCCGCCGCCCTACCGAGCGGCCCCGCCGCCCTTCCTCGCGGCCCCGCCGCCCCATCGCGCGGCCCCGCCGCCCTACCTAGCGGCCCCGCCGCCCTTCCTCTCGGCCCCGCCGCCCCATCGCGCGGCCCCGCCGCCCTTCCTCGCGGCCCCGCCGCCCCATCACGCGGCCCCCGCCACTCTACCACGCGGCCCCGCTGCCCTATCTCGCGGCCCCGCCGCCCTACCCAGCGGCCCCGCCGCCCTTCTGCAGCGGCCCCGCCGCTCCTCTACAGCGGCCAAGCCGCCCAGCAGCCGCGCAGCCGAGCCGCCCAGCAGCTGCAGCCGAGCCGCCCGGCCGCCCACCAGCCGAGCCGCCGTGCAGCCGACCGCCCAGCCGCCGAGCCGCCCAGCCGTCGAGCCGCCCTGCAGCCGAGCCGCCCGGGAGCCGAGCCGCCCTGCCGCCGAGCCGCCCTGCCGCCGAGCTGCCCGGGAGCCGAGCCGCCGAGCCGCCCTGCCGCCGAGCCGCCCTGCCGCCGAGCCGCCCGGGAGCCGAGCCGCCCAGCAGCCGAGCCGCCGAGCCGCCCAGCTGCCGGGCCGCCCTACTACCGAGCCGCCCGACCTGCCCTGCCTGGTGAGCACAGCACCACTGTTACTGCGTGCCCTTCCCCTACTGCTTGCACTACTATACTGTCGTCGTCATGGCTACCCCTAGTGTCCTCGCTTTTGACGCTGAGGGTCGAGCCATTGACTTTGAGGTCTGGGTCGACGACCTGCAGCTGTTCTTACAGTGCGATAGGACGGACGGTCTTTCCCTCTTTGACCTCACCTCTGGCGCCTCTCCTGCCCCTGCTGCTGATGCTGACCCCACTGTTCGCTCTCAGTGGGCCACCCGCGATGCTGCTGCTCGTCTTGCTGTGCGTCGTCACCTGCCTACCACTGAGCGCGCGCACTTTAGTCAGTACAAGAGTGCTCAGACCTTGTACGACGCTGTAGTTGCGCGCTACTCTTCCCCTGCCACTGCTGCCCTGAGCCGCCTCATGCTACCGTACCTCTTTCCTGACCTTGCTGCCTTTCCCACTGTCGCTGACCTCGTTACGCACCTCCGCACTAGTGACACTCGCTACCGCGCCGCCCTTCCTGCTGAGTTCTGCGCCAAGAACCCCCCCCCATGTACATCACTCTCTATTACATAGTCACACGCCTCCCTGACTCCCTTCGCGTAGTCAGGGACCACTTCCTCTTAGTCTGTCCCACCACTCTCACTGTCGACCTCCTCGAGAAGTCCCTCCTGGCGGCGGAGAAGAGCATCGTCGCTGTAGGAGCCTCTCGTGGTGACCCTCGCACCCCCATCTTTGAGGGGTGTTCTCCTTCCCCCCTGCTGCCCTCTGTTGCCTCTGCTGCTGCTGCCGACCTGCTTGGTCTTGAGTCGGTCTGCGCGGCGTCTGCCCCTAGCGGGAGACGCCGCCCTGGCAGGGGCAAGGGGGGCAAGGGCGCGGGTGGAACTGGCGGGGGCGGTGGAGGTGGCGGTGGAGGCGGCGGAGGGAGTGGGGGTGGCGGTGGGGGTGGTGGCGGGGGCGGTGGTGGCGGTGGCAGCAGCGGAGGAGGAGGCGGTGGTGGCGGCAGCGGTGGGAGCGGAGGCAGCGGTGGTGGTGGAGGTGGAGGCGGCGGTGGCGGAGGGGGTGGCGCTGGTCGGGGTGGTGCCCCGCAGCGTAGCGGCTCTGGTGGTGGCCAGCGTCAGCAGCAGCAGCAGCAGCAGCAGCAGCAGCAGCGTTCGCGGGACATCCCCCCGCCCCAGCAGCTCCGTGAGTGGTACACGCAGCGTCAGCGGGGTGGGGGTTTTGGTCCGTGCACCTACGTCCTTCGTTTCGGCGACCGCGCGGGTGAGCAGTGTGGGGGTGCCCACCCCACCCAGCGCTGCTTTGGCCGCCTGACGGACGCTTGGCGTCAGCAGTTCCCCGAGGCTAGTGAGATTCCCCGTTGGGGAGAGCTGTCTAGGGCTGGCGTAGCTATCTTTGATCTTGACTTTGATGCTATCCTTGCTGCCATGTATGCTGTGACTATTAGTGAGGAGGGTGACTGTTACCGGTGTTTCCCGCCCGACCCGGGCATTGGTACTGCTGCGCCAGGTACTTCTGCGGCTGCTGCTCTAGGTGCCAGTGCGTCTGCACTCTCAGGTACTGGTGAGGCTGCGCTCTCAGGTACTGCGTCGGCTTCGGCCTCCCTCACCTTCACGCTTGACTCAGGAGCTTCTCGCTCCTTCTTTCGAGACCGCACCACTCTCACGCCGCTTGGCCGGCCGGTTGCAGTCTCCCTGGCTGACCCCTCTGGGGGTCCTGTCCTCTCTCACTTCTCCACTGTCCTCCCGTGTCCGGCTGCCCCCTCGGGCACCCTGTCTGGTCTGTACCTCCCCTCGTTCTCGACGAACTTGGTGAGTGGTGCTGACCTGCAGGATGCGGGGGTTCACCAGTTTACTCCTGCGAGTCAGCGGGTGACCCACTGCTCGGACGCCCGCACAGGCCGACACCTGGCCACGTTTTCGCGTCGGCCGGGGTCGAGTCTCTACACCCTGACCACTGAGTCTCCTCCTGTCCCTGCTTCTGGCCAGGTAGCTGCGTCGGGTCAGGTGTTTGCTGCAGCGTCCAGGTCTGGTCCTGAGTCTGCCCCCTGCTCGTGTCGCCGCCTGTCTCATGAGACTCTCCTGTGGCACCACCGTCTTGGCCACCCCTCCTTGCCTCGTCTTCGGGGCATGGCTTCCCGTGTCCTTGTCTCTGGTCTTCCCCGGTCTCTCCCTCCCCTTCCTTCGGGACCCGGACCTTCCTGTGTCCCCTGTGTCGAGGGGCGGCTCCGGGCTGCCCCTCACTCCTCCCAGTTTCCCCCGACAGAGGCTCCTCTGCAGACGCTTCACATGGACGTGTGGGGCCCGGCCCGCGTCCGTGGGCAGGGTCACGAGCGCTACTTCCTGCTGGTGGTTGACGACTACTCGCGTTACACCACAGTCTTCCCCTTGCGCAGCAAGGGTGATGTCACTGAGGTGTTGATCGACTGGATCCGCGCAGCTCGTCTCCAGCTCAGGAGGAGCTTCGGCTCGGACTTTCCTGTTCTGCGTCTGCACTCTGACCGAGGTGGAGAGTTCTCCTCTGGCCTTCTGCGAGCCTACTGTCGTGCACGAGGCATCCGCCAGACCTTTACGCTTCCGGACTCTCCACAGCAAAATGGGATTGCTGAGCGCCGCATTGGCATGGTCATGGACGTCGCTCGTACGTCCATGATGCATGCGGCTGCCCCCCATTTTCTGTGGCCGTTTGCGGTTCGGTACACGGCGCATCAGATCAACCTTCACCCCAGGGTCTCCCGGCCGGAGACCTCCCCAGCTCTGCTGTGGACGGGGAAGGTCGGCGATGCGTCTGCGTTCCGTGTCTGGGGATCTCGGGCGTTTGTCCGCGACTTGTCTGCGGACAAGCTGTCCCCTCGTGCTGCTCCCTGTGTCTTCCTCGGCTTCCCCCCTGACGCCCCAGGGTGGCAGTTCTACCACCCCTCCTCTCGTCGTGTTCTGTCCTCCCAGGACGTCACGTTCGACGAGTCAGTCCCCTTCTACCGCCTCTTCCCCTACCGCACTCCTTCCCTCCCCCCGCCACCGCACTTCCTTGTGCCAGGTCCCCCCCCGGTAGACCCCCTTCCCCCTCAGGGTCCTGCCCCTTCAGGTGTGTCCCAGGTAGACGCAGTCGAGCCGGTCGAGGTTGCTGGTGACTCTGGTCCTGCTGCGGGTGCTGAGCCTGGGGGTGCTGACTCTGGGGGTGCTACGCGCGTGGGTGCTGAGCCTGGGGGTGCTGAGTCTGGGGGTGCTGAGCCTGGGGGTACTGCGACTGGGGGTGCTGAGCCTGGGGGTGCGGAGTCTTGGGGTGCTGAGCCTGGGGGTGCTGTGACTGGGGGTGCTGAGCCAGGGGGTGCTGCGTCTGGAGCTACTGAGCCTGGAGCTACGGAGCCTGCGGCCACTGGACCTCCCCTTGTGGCGTCTGGCGGTGCGGGACCTGGCGGTTCTCCGGGTGGTTCGCCTCGGCGGGAGCCCCTCTCTCCACAGGAGCTGCGCGAGTGGTTTGCTCGCCGCTGGAGACGTACTGCTGGAGCTGGAGCTCCTTCGGCTGCT